GTAAAAATAATTGATGCTGGTAGTCCCACGATCTGCAGTGACGAGGAATTCTACTTTGATGACAACCTGGCAAACGATTGGCATCGACACTGACTTGGGAGGTGAGTCGGCCGATGATTTGGCCAGAACGGACACCGCTGCACATATCCGGGACAATGCCAGTATTGGTTGCAAGAGCAAAAACAATCAATGGACTCTGCTGCTCCCTCAACTTGCTCAAGTCGATAATTTGAGTACCCTTATGCGGAACATCGCTAGCATGAGCAGTATGCAGCGAAAGCAGTACTCTCTGGCGAGCGGAGAAAACCGTGTGCAGGTGGGCTTTGGTGTGGAGAATATGAGTGCGACGTCTAGTATGTTGAGGAACTGGAAGACTGCGTGCAGCAGTGTATACTGTATATCTGAAAGTACAGGTGGAGTGTGATGGAGAGGACGTGGAGTGCCAACTTCTTCCAGCTACAGATGTTGACCGTGTTTTCGCTGGCGGTTCTCCAGTGGTGCTGCAAACAGGAGGTATTTCAGACACCCAGCTCGGCTGCCTATAGACAATTTGGATGTGGCTGAGTACCTGTCAGCTCATGCTATAAGACCCTGGACGGAGGAATGGACCCGGAAAGGATGAACCAAGGGGCATATCAATTGTGTGCAAATATGACAATCCCACTGCTGTACATAGACTTTCGCCATTTCAACAGTGCTGCATAAAATACCATTGTAGCAACACTTAGACATGTCCGATCAATCCAAAACTTTCCGACAGTGAACATTAGGTGTGTTAGATCATTTTTAAACAAAAAACTGAAAATCGAATTTTTGGTCTGTGGTCATATTTTAGCGTGCTCTGGCTCATATATCTCTGAAGCACCCTATAAAAGAAGCTCTCATTCTCTCTTTTACTTCAGTTTTTAGTCTAGTCTAGTCTACTCTAGTCTAGTCTAGCAGTCGAGACTCGGTCTCAGCTCTCTGTCTTCGTTTACTTTGAGCTCGGATTTGATACTACTCACAACGTAAAACTAACAGTCTTTGTCTGTTGATCGTGTGGGGTTGAACTTGGACCAAGCCAGCTATATTGGTTGGCCCCTGGGTTGTGTTGGGCTTGTCGTGAGGCCACACGTCTATATTCAGTCGCCGCTCGTAGTGATTTCGGGTCCGGTCACTGTGAGCCGGGGACGCGACAAAGATACATATCCACAGCCAACTGTGGAGGAGCAGTTGGGGCCAAACGAAAGATATGGCCAGCGAGACTGTAGCGCTGCCTTGTGATCAGTAAAGGAACAGTAGGGGAAGCAAACCGGCTGAAAAAAGAAAAAATGCCATACCCGCCGCCAAGACTCGAACCCGGGACCTTGCTCGTCATGAGCAATGCTCTTACCATCTGAGCCATGGGGCTAGGCCGAACCTAGAAGGCACCGACAAGACGTTCACTCCAAAGGCAGCTCAGAAAACGTGCCACGCATAATGATGGCACCTGGGTCTCTGCATTAGCGCTGAGATTTGTATTTATGGGTTCTCCACAGGCCTTAGCCTAAATCGTGGGAGTCTCCACCAACAGCTTATGGAGAAGAAGAAGAAGCTGAGGAGAGAAATAAAAATAAATGATAGAAAGATGCGGGGTGGTAGTAATGTAACACAGTGCTCTATAGCCTAGTTCACATTCGACGGAACGCTGACGGTACGGGACGTAAGGGCTGGGGTGACACGACATACTGCAGTTGTAGCGTCGTTCAACAGCAAACGGCGACAGTCATAAGGCACGATCCGTGACAGGGTGACTTTAGGACATAATTTCTTGTTTTTCGGGACTTCTTTTCAGTTATTTCTCCTTGAATGAAGCGGAATCAAGTTCACAAAACCAGTTTTTCATGACAACCAAAAAAGTAGCTTCGAAAGGTGTGCCATTCAAATAATAGCAACAGGAAATGATAAAACAGTTCGTCTGTCACGCTCCTGAACTATCCCTAAATACCATAAGTGACATCAGACTAATTCTTGCTAAAATTCAACTCAAGTCGTGTTAGCCATTCTGCGAGTTACCATGGAAAGCGCAGTGTTCGAAATGCTAAAAATTTCAAAGTACGTATCGGGAGTAGTCGGCGCACGACACCGTCTCCTGTTCACACTCAAAATGCAGCCGTTTTGTACGCTTGCGTCCCCGTCTACGCACGTCTACGGTATGAAAATATGAATCGATCAACAAAAAAATATTCCCGTCGCTTCCCGATCCGTACGGTAGTACGGTTGCTTCCCCGTTCCTGGAGTTCACAACAGACGCCGTCAGACTGTCCAGTCACTTCTCGTCGATCCTTGCGTCGCGTCCTGTCATGACCTGGGCTGTCGAATATGAACTAGGCTTATGATATGGCTACTCTATGTGGAATGAAACCAGAGGGCTCATAATAGGTGATAGCAACTTGAAGTGGGTGCAGACAAGAGCGGTAAAACATTTTGGCCTGGATACAGCACGAATGGCAGCCGGGAGGGAGTTCCATGTGGCAGTGGTGACAAAGACAAAGGTCGTACAGATGTGTGTGCTGGCTCTAGCAGGCGAATCGCGTGTCGCGTCGCAGAAAGTTGTATTGTGAATCGGCCTTAATTCATACCTCGTAACATTTTATCCTTCCTTTTTACCATAATTAAATTGGCCCACCATTCGAGTTCAACTTTGGTACAGGTAATTTTTTACCTGAAATAAAACGTGACCTAAAATTCAACCATGCCATGCCACACAGTGTACAAAATGCATTTTTGGATCTAGAAAACTGGTTAAGCGAAATTTTCGTGCTACCGAACCGTTGATTTTGGGAAATACCGAAAATACTAAACCAGCAAAAATTCCCAGTTTTACAGTTTATAACATACCGTAAAGTCTTGTACAAAAGTCGCGGCTTCTATGACTTTTTTACTGAAATTTTGCAGGCTTCTATATGAGACAGGCTTCTATTCAACTCAGGTATTTCTATGTATGTCAACACTAAAACCAGGCTTTTGTGTGATTTGATTGGCCCAAAATTGCGGCTTCTATTCAAGTGCAGCTTTTATACAAGACTTAACGGTAGTCTACTGGCAAGAAAGGCGGTGATGCTGTGCCAAGCGTTATTTGACCGAGCAGTTCCCAAAATCCACGCCTTTCCATCGACGACTTTTAACAAGCTGCAATAGGGCAGTAGCGGCGCCAGCAGTACAAGCAGGAAGACACGATCCGTGAGCGGAAAGCAACGCTAAGGCCGCTGTGGCCCTTGCTCGCCTCGGATGGGTTTTGGACCGTGCTAGATGTCATTGAAACTGAAACGTGGCACAAATGTCTGGCTCGCGGGTCGAGTATCTTTGGCCACGATTGCAGTATTGGCGGCACCACAAGGGTAGAAAGGGTGTGGGGAGAATCAGCCACGGCGATCTTAACCAGTCCTTGTTACGTTTGAATGCGTTGGGTTCTTCTGCCATTGCTGTTTCTACATTCTGCGAATCGCAATAATTATATTTAGGGGTGAAACGGTTCGGGTAAGGAACCGGCTTTGGAACCGCCAGCTGAAAAGAATCGGGTACCCGTTCCGTCAAATTTCGAACCGAAACTCGAAAACTCTCGTTCTCGTACAAATACATGTGCACGCCAAGTCTACTCAAGATTTTTAAATGTCTTACCTTATGATCACCGCCCTTCCAAAGGGTTCTCCTATCGATACTGGTCACTACGAGCGTACCTCCTTCGCACATGGACTCTCCGATGTCTCGTTCTTGCTCGTAAAAATAGTTTCCAACTTGAAAATAATTGTCACGGACGCATTTGGTCGGTCTGGAGAAAAGAGTGCATAGAACCGATACCCGAACCGTGGGAAATCATGCTGGCATTCGGGTACCCGAACATGAAAAACATGGAACCGTTTCACCCCTAATTATATTTTGTGTTGAGTAGCTGTACATTTGGCTGAGCTTGAATTCTTTTTTTGTGGCCATTAGCAAGAGTAAATAAGCTCAAAAGAGTATGCGACTGTCAATATGGTGTCTCCGACAGCGAAAACTCGCACCAAACAATTCAGGTTCCCTTTGTACTAGGTACAATGAAGGAAAATGAAAACGTCACATACATTTCTACATCAAGTTGCTTAGTTGAAGGACTGTAGGCCGTGTAGACAAAAGATAGTGCTACCACGTTCACGCCTAGTGTGTCCCTCTTGTTGCTGGTCTGTAATCTCCTGCATCTGATTGCGGCCCGTCATCTATGCTGCAGTACTGTCAAGTCTTATAACAAAGTGCTAAATCTAACGAGTTAACAAGGAACACACGCTTCATGCCGACCTTAATAACACACGCGTGCTCCGTCAAGTGTCAAGTTTGGCAGAAAGCGTGTGTTCCTCGTAGCAAGAATCAACTTCATGACTTATACCGCCGAAGTCGCAACTTCTAAGAGGAGACCTTTGCTGTTAAAATAAAAAATATTCTACAGAAATCAATGCTTATACTGTTGCTAGTGAGAGTTGAGAATGAGTAAGAATCTTTACCTTTGGTACACGTAAACCGGTCAATTTTAGGAAATCGTTATAATTGCGGCCCGTGTAATAGAATAATGGCTTTTACAGCATTTTTTTTATTTTTTTAATCACACTTGTTAGTGCATCACTTGCAAATTTTGTTGTTGCCACCTTTTCCATCGCTACTGTTGTGCTCCCGATTTGTATTACTTACATAGTTCTTGTGCATGCCTCTAGGCATTCTTAAGCTGTTTTCCTTTCTCAAGGTGGGGAAGCTCCACTGCAGGCGCTTCATTGCACTGAACACCCTACGCATGCCATCCTCAAAGCAAGGGGTCTCTTTCGCTGCAAATCGCTATGTTCACAATCAGGTTTACGACCAGGAACCTCCAGCAGGATATCCTTTCTATCCGTTTGAGTTGTTCATGCAATCGCCTAGGGAAAAAGAGCAGTGGAAAACACAGAGCAGGGCTGCAGCTCTCTTTCTGGCCGCTGCTTCCATGCACTGAGCAACGTTCTTTCCTTTCGTTTCAGAAAACGTTTGCGGTGCATTCAAAGGACACCCTTATACCGTCTACACCAGGGTCAGCAACGTGGCCAAGAATGTGTCTTGCCTCCCGGGCTTTCGTCTTGCGTCTGGCAAACCATCAACCATATACTGTGATGGCACTGACTGGACACTCTCTTTCTGCAGAGGTTAGTCCAACTCGGGTATAATTATTATTTCTATTACTGTAGTGTCTTGTATTAAAGCCTATCTCGAATAGAAAAAGCCTGTTTTGAATACAAGCCTGTTTTGAATACAAGCCTGTTTTGAATACAAGCCTGTTTTGAATACAAGCCTGGTTTGAATACAAGCCTGTTTTGAATACAAGCCCGTTTTGAATACAAGCCCGTTTTGAATACAAGCCCGTTTTGAATACAAGCCCGTTTTGAATACAAGCCCGTTTTGAATACAAGCCCGTTTTGAATACAAGCCCGTTTTGAATACAAGCCCGTTTTGAATACAAGCCCGTTTTGAATACAAGCCCGTTTTGAATACAAGCCTGTTTTGAATACAAGCCTGTTTTGAATACAAGCCCGTTTTGAATACAAGCCCGTTTTGAATACAAGCCCGTTTTGAATACAAGCCCGTTTTGAATACAAGCCCGTTTTGAATACAAGCCTGTTTTGAATACAAGCCTGTTTTGAATACAAGCCTGTTTTGAATACAAGCCTGTGTTGAATACAAGCCTGACTTTCAAGATACACGGTCTGTACATACTGTAAACCGCCCAATACTCTCGTCACTAAATTTTCGCGGTTTCTTTGAACCAGCGAGTTTGAGATGGTAAAAGTTTGCGAGACACTGGGGCCACTTACATCCACCCACTGTTGAAGTAAGATTTCACGCTGGTTAATATACGCGTTACTCTCTTCTCGCGAAAATAGCGAACATTAATCCGTCGTGGATGTTAGGCAGTTTACAGTGAGCATGGTTTCAGTGTTGACACACATAGAAATACCTGGTTTGAATAGAAGCCTGATGTGAATAGAATCCTAGCCCTTACATCGGCTTCTACTGGAATAAGCCCGACTTTAATACCCGGCCTTACAGTACATGAAGACCAGAGTGTGCAGCTCGGATGGGTTGCTGTCACGGCGGAATTCCGTGATGTACATTATTTTAGTGATTATAGTGCATACAAGCTTTGAAGCAGTATACAAGCACCTCAGTTGTACGCCCTACGCCATTTCCCGCCTCAGATCTGCGCAAAATATTATGTAATCACGGAATTCCGCCACCAAAAAGCACCCAAGCTGCAGACTCTGGTTTTCATGTAATCTTGATAATAATTATCCTATTCGCGATGGCAATTAACCATATTGCGTTACAGATCCTTTCAATGTTCTTCTCTTTCCTTTTCCTCTTCCACCTGTACTTTTCCTTAGTTTCCTCTTTTCTCTTTAGCTCTTCTCTTGTACCTTCTTGCTATGATTCACTGATGTGGGTGTTGAATAAATCATGGATTACACAACTCGGGGTATTGAGCCAATAGCCAAATGTAAAAAAATAAGCAAGCACACACACAGGTTACTACGAGTTATGAGTAACTGTCCACTGCTGTAACGAGATAATAAGATGACCTTTCCTTCGATCATTGGTCTTGCCATAACCTTGAACTTCCCAAGCCAGAAGGTTGTTGGTTTGCGCACTGGAGGTGTGTGAGAGCTAGGTCTCAGGTCGCTGAATGGCACAGTAACGTGTCAGTTTTGTGCCCGGTTATTGCACTTTCTGACTGATTATTACCTTGTTACAGTCGTGGATAGTTGCTTCATAACTTGTTTCCATGTGATTTCTTCTATTTAAATTATAATTATGTATTGGCTCAGTATCAAGTCAAAAGGTGTGATAACTAAGCACAAAACTGACACGTTACTGTAACATTCAGCGACCTGAGACCTAGTTTTAACACATCTCCAGTGCGCAAACCCCTTTTACATTTTACTTTTGGCTGAGTATCCGAGTTCAATTTTGAATTGGATAGTAAGAAATTTGAAGGGCCTGAACCGAGCTCAACCACATCTCCATTTCGCAAACCAACAGCCTTCCAGCTCCAGGTTCAAGGTTATGGTAGGACCTATGAGGGGATGGTGAGTGCAGCGAAATGTGCATAAACTATGTCCCAAGGCAACTAAGAATGTCGACTATTACAGTATTCTGTCACTTTTGGGCTGACCAGTGTTCCCCGAATATACAGTGAAGTCTTGTATAAAAGCCACACTTGAATAAAAGCCGCCCTCGAATAGAAGCCACAATTTTGGGCCCATCAAATCACACATAAGCCTGGTTTTAGTGTTGACATACATAGAAATACCTGTCTTGTATAGGAGCCTGTCTCATTCAGAAGCCTGCAACATTTCACCAAGAAAGTCATAGAAGCCTTTTATACAAGACTTGACGGTAAGTCACACCTTTTTACACTAAAATTCACTGAGGGTAAAAAAAAGGGGTGCGACTTACAATTGAGCATGACTTACTACTGAAGTCAATATATCGAAACAACATGGCTCCTGCTTAACATAGCACTGCTAGCCCTGAAACCTATAGACTGGAGCCCCCACATTCTCACACAGCTTTTCATGCAGCGCTACAAGACCCATGCCCACCCTCTCCTGGCATAATATTATTATTATTATTATTATTATATACCGGCATGGTCGGCACCCCATCCTCATGTTGCCTGATGATTGTGAGAGCATGAAACTTGAAGTAGTTGAAGCAAACAAGCCTTAATTGTCCTTGATGTTCTGTGTCACAGATATAGATGAATGCAGAGTACAACCACTCCCCTGTGAGCTGAGTAGATGTGTCAATGAATTGGGAACGTACCAATGCTGCCCTCTCGGCTATCGCAGGAATATATCTCTGCCGACACGCTGTGGAGGTTAGTCACTTGCTCAAGCCGTGCGTGTCTTCGGGCAAGAACATGTTCTAAAGTGTCCTGGGGATCTTTACTGTATGTGTGTGTGTGTGTGTGTGTGTGTGTGTGTGTGTGTGTGTGTGTGTGTGTGTGTGTGTGTGTGTGTGTGTGTGTGTGTGTGTGTGTGTGTGTGTGTTTGTGCCAGCTAGTTCGGTTGGTGGGTACACTTATGCCAGATAGTGTTGGGCATGTTGCCAACGGGCTCGGCTGCTTGAAGGTACAGGTCGTCCCCCGTTAATACGAGTCCGGTTAGTACATAAACCCCGTTAGTACATAAGAAATCTCAAGCCCCGGACGAAACGTGGTCACTTCCATACAAATTTTGTCGGTTAGTACATAATTCGTTAGTAGATAAACCCCGTTAGTACATAACATTTCTCCGAACCCGCATGTCACCTACCTCAATAGTACATAATTTGTTGGTCTTTTGGCCTTCCAGTGGGGGCACGTCGTGTTCTAGTTTCTACTTGCTTGTGGACGCAATTGGCTCAGAAATCAGAGCGCACATCACAACCTACAAAGCTCTGTTTTTTTCCGAGTGACCGTACAGGCGCGGCTGGGCATGTATCATGTAATAATCTAAACTGTAGAAGTCTTCGCTAAGGGCCTGGTCAGACTGCGGCAACTTTTGGTTGCCTGACAAAAAAAGAACAGCGTCCAGAATTTGAATCGCGATCACACTACACATCACGGTGGGAAGAATGAAAATTCAAACTTCATTTCGAGCGTCAAGTGGTAATCTCCACGAACGACGTCAAATTCTTCACCTTGGGATCGCCAACACCTTCAGTGCAATCTTTGCAACCATCCTTACGAGTTTTGTTGTTGCCCGTGGCAAATTAGCTCCTCGATATCGAGATGAAAAAATCAGTGATTATCAGCGTCAATGGCGTATCAGCATCAAATCCTGTTTGGAGCGGAAAAGCGTGGCCCGTTCTTGCTTTTTTTTTTGGAGCGTCAACTCTCCCTTTTGCCGCTCTGGCGGCAAATTACTATGGAGATGCGGATTATAATTCTAGGATTATTTCGATTTTGCCGCAGTCTGACCAGGCCCTTACTGTGACCGTTATAACATAATTTTTATGTTATATCGAGGGAATCAAGAATATCTCGGTGCCTAATCATGGTAGCAAGAAACAATCAGAAAAGTTGAAAAAGTGAAAAATTCTGGTACACAAGCAAGTTATGTACACTTTCGTTTAGTACATAAACCCCGTTAATACATAACATTTGTCAAGTCCCAGAGATTATGTATTAACGAGGGACGACCTGTATATTGTTGTACCTACCAATTTTGTTGGTTTCAGGGTTCATATACTTTCTATTTGAAGTGTACAAACCTGTTAACCATAGACTGCTTCTGGCTAGATTAACTCTTGTGTAATCAATGGTGCTAGTGAAGCTTATCAGATCCACTCTGATTTAGCCACCCACACTAGTACCAAGTATTACCTACACTGGGGCAGGGGTATCTGCAGTTGGATCCCGGGACGGATACCCTGATGCCGTCAATCCTTTTTTTCTGCACCTTGTCCTCACCCACTTACTGAGGTGTGGTGAGCCCATAAGTGGGATCATTTCAAGTCCACCCTAGTTTGGGGATTTCAGGGGGTGTCGGCCGTTGGGTGGTTCAATGGCCAATTGAGTCATCTTTCCAAGATTCCTTTTGAGTCTCTCTCCCCTCTCCCGGGGAGACCCACGTAACCAGTTTTGGCAGTGAGCAAGTACAAGTACAAGTGTGTGTGTGTGTGTGTGTGTGTGTGTGTGTGTGTGTGTGTGTGTGTGTGTGTGTGTGTGTGTGTGTGTGTGTATGTACCGATTCGGCTTGACCTTGAGAACGCCCCAGCCTGCAGCGAGATACACCGTGCCATGCGAGCTCTTCAAAATGGCAAAGCATGTGGTCGATCAGAGCTAACAGCGGAGATGCTCAAGCGCGGCTCTGAACTGGTGCCTAGATTGGAGATGTTGTTGTCTGAAGTCTGGCGGACGGAAAGGGTTCCTCAGTATTGGGAAGACGCCATCTTAATCCCAATTCCCAAGAAAGGTGATCTTAGTGAGTGTGGTAACTGGCGAGGCATTGCGCTTCTAGACGTGGTCGGCAAGCTGGTGGCAATAATAATAGCGGATTGCCTGCAGCTGGTTGGAGAGAAATACCTGCCTGACTCCCAGTGTGGTTTTCTCCGTGGTAGGGCATGCTCAGACATGGTGTTCTCAGTACGCCAGGTTGCCGAGAAATTGCATGAACATTCATCAAAGGGCTTTGCGGTGTTCATCGACTTGCGCAAAGCATACGATTCAGTACCTAGAGCAGCCACGTGGAGGGTTCTCTCCAGGCTCGGTGTGCCGGATAAACTGATCTCCATCATTCGGTCGTTCCATGTAGGCATATCTGCATCCATCCGTCTCGGCCCAGATCTGCTGGACCCTTTCCCGGTGGGCAATGGCCTACGTCAGGGATGCACTATGGCCTCGATCCTGTTCAACTTGTTCATGGGTACGGTTGTGGAAAAGTGGCATGCTACCATCTCCAATGACGGGGATATCGGTGTCCAGGTGTCGCAGTTCCGCAGAGACTGCTTGTTCAATACGCGCCTCAGAGTGTCGCAGAGTGACTACAACGGATTGTCAGTTTGCGGACGATTCGTCGCTGTTCGCCAAAACCTACGGTGGTGCTGAAAGGGCCTTGGCCTTGTTTCGGGAGGTTGCAGCATCTTTTGGCCTGTCAGTCAATCTGGGCAAAACTAAATTCATGCCTATGGGCGTTGGTGTGGTGGCGTCGGATATGTTGCCTTTTGGTAGAACCGTTGAATACGTGGACAGCTTTTTTTTATCTTGGCTGACAGATCACCCTTGATGCTAGAAGTAGCTTTGATGTCTCTCGCAGGATCGCTGCAGCTTCGGGTGCATTTGGCGCCTTGAAGAAGGCTGTGTTTGCGAACCCCGAGTATCCTATCGGTCTCAAGCGTGTTGTGTACAGAGTCACTGTGTTGGCGGTACTCCTCTATGGTGCTGAGAACTGGCCTCGAACCTGGGACCCTGCTTGTCATGAGCAATGCTCATGACCCACCAGGTTCGAGTCCTGGTGGGTCTGGCGTTTTTTCTCTTTTCAGGCAGTTCACTTCCCCGACTGATACTTTGAATTTGAAGTTCTCCCAATCCTTTCCAAATTAAATCACTTTCTTTCACCTCTGGTAGTTTCCAGAAACTGACCGTGGTTGGTCCCCTGGGGGAGGGAAAAAGACCCAAGTGCCATCAGTATGTGTGGCACGTGTTGTGAGCTGCCTTTGGAGTGAAAAACTTGTCAGCGCCTTCTAGGTTCAGCCTGGTCCCATAGCTCAGTGGTTAGAGCATTGCTCATGACAAGCACGGTTCCCAGGTTCGAGTCCTGGTGGGTCTGGCGTTTTTTTCTCTTTTCAGGCAGTTCACTTCCCCGACTGATACTTTGAATTATCATTATTATTATTAACACAATGTACGAGAGAGCTTGGAAGCTCAGGGCCCTGCGCTATGCTTTGTTGCCTAGCTCATCGCGCATGTTGTTAGAACTGATGGAAATGCTTTTTTCCTTTGATTAGCTACATCATTGTATTGCAAAAACGTTTCAATGAGATACTGAAGTACAAGTAACGTCTTCTGCATAGCTATGGGACCGGCGCTGACTCTGCCGATCACGGGCGTTCTGGAGTCGACGGGATGTCTGTCCTGACGTTTTCTGGGACCGGCGCTGACTCTGCCGATCACGGGCGTTCTTCTTCTTCTTATTATTATTATACTGACGGCAACTAACATCCATTCTGATCGCATTTACTCGTCTCCCTACTTCGTATTTCTTTCCAGAAAATCTCCCCATACAGCAGGGAGTCGTTTACATAATATGACTCCCTGCTATACATCTACATGACGTTATAATTATTATGCTATCGGCCTACACGCGATTCCCGGGCTGGTCGACAGGCGGCCCAGCCAGCCTGCTAGTGGGATCTCGGCCTCGCACACAAATCCACACAAAATTTAATGGTACTGCACTGAATGCATTCCCCCCCCCCCATACACTTCGCATATATACTCATTCTCTTGATGGTACCGTACTCTTGATGGTACGGGACAGGTACGGGATAGCGCCAGGCATGTCGATGGCACAAACAAACAAAAATATTGTGGCCAGCTGTCTTTGCTGGTACGGTACAGTACGGGACAGATACGGGATAGCGCCAGGCGTGACACAAACAAACAAACACACAAACAAACACCAAATTAAAGCTGTGTGGACCCTGGCTAGCGCCAGACGTTACTGAAGTAACGTCTTCTGCATAGCTACGGGAATTAAAATGCAATACAACATACACTGGAGAAGAAATCAGAAAAATAAAATATGAGCTCAAAACTGGAACGAAAAATAGCAAATAGAATCAAAACTCACGATGGAATCACACTCACGATGGAATCAAACTCATGATGGAAACTACAACCCAATGAGTTGGAAAACCAACCACAGAATTAGATATTGGGAATAGAGTCAGACACAACAACAACCGAAATCAGTACACCAAAAATCTGTCCTACAAAAAACAAAGGAACAAGAAAAACAAGAAAGACGAAGTACAAAGAATCCCCAAAAAAGAGGGGAGAACGGGATGAAAGAGGACCGGAGAGCGGCAAACCCCAGGAGGACTTAGCGTCACGTAGTGGCGGGAATGCGGGCCTCCACAGAAACAGCATCCACATCCGCCGCCAGACCAGGTGCACGGAATGCACGGCGACTCCCACGAACCATCAGGACGGAGTCGCGGACAAGGCTGAAAGCCAGGTCTGTCCGCAGCTTTCCCATCACGAGGGGATAAGGCTGCGAGAGCTTGGTGGAGAGCTTCATTCCGAGCAGCTTCAGGAACCGGGTGGCCTCCTTCGCCAGGGCACCAGCAGAAGACAGGACGATCGGGGTGAACGACGTGTGCTCAACTTCCTGG